GAAAAAACATGTTTTTGTAAGGTTTTGAGCTAAATGTGGAAAAATGTTGCCGTTAATTTCAGCATGTTTCACTTTACAAACGGCGCCCCATAAAATAAAAGCCCAAAAGTTTTTTTCAGCTGTCTCGTGCCAAAGCGCGCGCTGGCACGGAGCCGTCAGAGTCATGCGTGAAGACGTTTATGGAGATGAAGCTCCCGGAAGAGCACACGGGGCCAGCTGGCTGTGAGCTGCAGGGCAGCGGAGAACTTGAGTGCAGAGTCCGCCTGGAAAACAGCGAATTCACCGGCTAAGCCTACAGGAGCATTAACGGTGTCGTTAAAGAGCGCCTCTTCTTTCATGCTCATTAAAAGCTTCTCGCGCTCACAGAAATGCGCGCAGACTCGGTGTGACCTCTCTGTGACCCTCACACACTCAGCTGATGAGGTTTGGATCTCGTTTTTGGCTGAAACGCGCGGACTTTCCACGGTAAAGCCCAACAATCCGAATTTTGCGCGTGCACAGACCGTTTCTAATCCGCAGCAGCAGCGCACGCGCACAAGAGACCTGCTCTGCTCCAAGAGCCTGATAAAAAGCTCTTGGAGCCGGGGGGGTTGGGCTCGGAAATCAGATGGGGGGCACACATACACAGCGACCACTTTCTCTAATATGTGTTTTATTTTAGTATAAATACAGAAAGTATTTACACGTTTCATATAAACATACTCTCGAAGTTTCTTATCGACTTCGGTCCGAGTAACGGAACATCTCAGGTACATACAAGCGTTCATTTAGATGTTACGCTGTATGATAAGCAACCACGCAGCCAGGAACGCTGCACAACGTGACGTCAGAGTTAGTGCTTCACTTCACACCTGTGCAGGATGGACAGGTAATAAATGAATAAATCAGAGGTGTGCTGTCTGAACTTTTCCTTATTTTAAATAAAGTTTTGCTGATTTCCGTCAACAGGTGGCTCGGTGTGACGTCACCGGGGGTGGTGGAGAAGCTCGGGTGTTCCAACCTGTCTCTGAGCCCCCGGCAGCGCGAGCTGTGCAGCAGGAAGTCCATCCTGCTGCCGGGAGTCCGGGAGGCCGCGCGCCTCGGGGTGGCCGAGTGTCAGAGACAGTTCAGGCACGAGCGCTGGAACTGCTCCACCAATCAGGAGGTGCCCGTGTTCGGGCACGAGCTCACGAGCGGTGAGTAAGATCACTTTACGCGGGCGGGGGGTGGTGGGGTGGTGGAGACTCCTCTCTCTGATTCACCTGGACGCGTGACTGCTCAGGTGAAGCAGGACCGTCATGGAGCAAATACAGGCTTCACTCATCGACAGAGATGGGCAGTAACGCGCGTTCCGATTACTTTTTTCAAGTAATGAGTATAGTAAAGGATTACTATTGTAAAAATGCAATTAGATTAGTGTTACTTTCCCGTAAGAACGCTGTATTCAGTAGCGGTTTTTGATACGGGCGACACGGGTGGATGGCGGCATCACGGGCATCGGCAAAAAAATAAATAAAAATGAAAAATTGCTCGTACTCATGCTGCCCCGACATCAGCCAGCGCATATTGGGAATGGCATAGGCACCGATCGGTTTTCTATCGCCCATTTGCGAGTAAGGGCGCCCTCCGTTTGCGAGGTGCGCCTGCTGCTTGCGGCACAGGGAGGAGAGGGCGGGGCGGCGGGGGATTCTCTGACTGGCTGGAGAGGCATCTGATAACCAACTC